GATGCCCCTTGTGAGTCCTTGTGGGTCCTTCACTTGCACTACGCATTAACTACACAATATCAGGTAAAAACACAGTTCTCATCTGGCTAAGGGTGCCTTGTTAACAATTTTTGCTGAGATCAGAAGCAAAGCAGAGTGCTGTCTTTTTGTACTTGCTTGTGGCATCCATGTTCAGAGACGCAGGAGTGCATAGTTCTATTAAACATTAGATAAGTCATTGATGTATAGCGAATAGCAACCCTTGTGTTGTTTGAAGCCAGAAAAGGTAATGGGCCCCCATGTGGCATATCTACACAGTGATTTCTTTTTTTGTGGACTTTTCTCTGAAGCCATTTAATCCAAGGCAAAGTGTATTCAGTTGATTTTCTTTCCGTAATAGAAAGTAGAATGCACAGGATCACAGTCTGCCATGGTGCCGCTCAGGAGAAAGCTACCGGAAAAGGGATACTTTGCCTTCTGTTGCTAGTCTTTCAATGAGCCTTTGTTCAAAAACGGCATTATGAACCCCAGTCTTGTGGAATGCTCCAGCATCACGGTTCTCTTCCCAGTAGTGGTGCCAATTCCCACTGTTGTCTGCTCCAAAACCAAACACAGAGACCTGCCACAGAGAGCACAAAGCATCACAGAATACAGCCATTTTGCAACAGGGAATGCTGATTTCTGCAGTGTTCTTCCACATGAAAAATATTCTACTGCATTACAAGCCAGACTTTTCCTGAAAGATCTGTGTATTTCAAATGTAGCTTTCCTCTAGCACCATTCTAGTTTACGGCTGTGGGGGCCGTTGGAGTGTCAGAGCCTGGTGGACGGCGAAAGCGGCAAGCAGCGAGCAGCGAAGATGGCGTCCGGGCACATCGGAGGTGGAACAGACGTCGGCAGAGAGGCGGAGCCAGGACGACATGCGAGCGTGGACGGCGCAGGCGGGCGGAGCCGCGAGGACTGAGCCAAGGCCGCGCCGGAGCATGCCGTGTGACAGAAGGGCCCGACTGATCCGCCACTGAAAGACTGCCAGAAAGGAGCCAGAAGCCGAGTGACGCTGAAGTCGACATAGCCGACTGGGAGAAAAACCCCTCCACTGGGTGCCGGTAGGGATTGTCCCCACCCCTAATAATTGTTGCCGTAGGTTAGGGATAAATGAGTAACTGTAGCCGCTCAGAGACCCCTTAGGGGGTTAGAGTGGGGTAGTAGGCTGAAATAAATAATTAATTAAATAAATAATTACTGGCTGTATGCCTTGGCTAATACCCTTAGCCAAGCCTGAATATTGTTTTACAAAATGAAAGCAAAGGCATCCAGTGAGAATGCAAAGAGCTGTTACATTATAGTCTATCCAGATAATTTTCAAAGTTCCTACAGCTTTTCACCTTAGCATATTAATATGCCTCATAGAAGAGGGTCAGCACTGTTTTAGTATTGGTCATATGTTCATCTGTATAGCTTGCTTTTCCTGTTTCAAAGCTGTGGGGGTTACCTGAAGGATATAAAGATGTCAGTATTGTCACACATACCCGTGTACAAGTGTGGATGGCAAAGATCAATGCAATCAATCCAGTGGAAGGATATTTTCCATGGTTCTTGGTCCACTTTTCCTGGATGTATTTCAGAAAGGCAGGATTCAGTATTAGAACCTGGGGGAAAGGAAAGGTGTGAATATCTGGATGGCCTCTCAAATACAGTCACAGTATATATCCAATTTTTCCTGCTATTGCAGCCATCAAATAAATTACAACTCTTATTCCATAAGCATAACCATGAGAAACTGAGGAGAGGGACATAAGCATGGGGGATGCAACTAGCTCCTGTGGCCGAGCACATTGAGTTAGGCCTGTCCTTGGGTCCTTGCAAAAACAATGCTAAATTGCCCTCTCTGATCATGGCACACAGTCTGTGAGCAATCCCTTCAGTCCTTGTAGATTAAAAATTTGTCACTGCTGTCATGAGTGCCTCAGAGGCAAATGGATGTCATGTCATTTTTGGACCCATTTCCCCCCCTTAAATAACCATATGAAGAGTCACAAATGGCAACTCAGACATAGATCTTCATTTGGCTCAAAAGACTGATAACATCGGGGGGGGGGAGAATTTTGTTCTTATGATGCTGGGAGAGCAGATTGGGATGAATGTAGCTGCCAGCTATAACGTCTGACTTGTGCTTTTGCTTGCACTTCCTACCTCCCGATATGAAGTTTGGGTATGGATGGAGGCATGAGCCCCTGGGCAACAGAAAAAGGGCTCTTGGTGCCCAGGTTGTAGCCTTGGATGAGCTGGCCTATTTCATCCAGGAACAGCCCAAGATATTATTATTTTTAATTTAAATTATACTTTTTCCTATTTATTTATTTTGGGATTTATATCCCGCCCTACCCATTATATTTTTTGTACAGTTGAAAGCTGCTTTAAGCCCCCTTCGGGGGAGAAATGTGGGGGATAAAGATTCTATGTAAATTCCAAGTAAGAAGCCCAGAACTGCTTCATTTTAACACTTTAAGGTATGTTCTTCTTTCCCAGAATCTTCCCTCTGCCCAAATATTCCTTGGAGCAAGTAAATATGGGGAACAAATATTCTGCAAAACAACAGGACATCATAAGCTAACTAAAGCAAAGCATTGTTGCCTTCATCTACTCACCTTGCTTTTGTCTGCTTTGATGAATTGTTTCACTCTTTTGTATGTGCTATGAAAGAAATGGAAGGATTTAATATCAATCACACATTTTTTTTACTTGGTCCTGCACCACCCTCAAAGCATCTCTCTTTCTCCCCTCTTTCAGAACATCAGAGACGCCAATGTTGGATCAGGCCAAAGGCCCATCCAGTCCAACACTCTGTGTCACACAGTGGCCAGAAATACCAGTGCCATCAGGAGGTCCAGCAGTGGGGCCAGGACATTAGAAGCCCTCCCACTGTTGACCCCCCCCAAGCACCAAGAAGACAGAGCATCACTTGCCCCAGAGCCCCTAGCTATACCTTGTGGCTAATAGCCACTGATGGACCTCTGCTCCATATGCTTATCTAATTCCCTTTTGAAGCCGTCCATGCTTGTAGCACCCACCACTTCCTGTGGCAGTGAATTCCAAGTGTTAATCACTCTTTGGGTGAAGAAGTACTTCCTTTTATCCGTTCTAACCCGAACGCTCTGCAGTTTCATGGAGTGCCCACGAGTTCTTGTATTGTGAGAAAGGGAGAAAAGTACCTCTTTCTCTACCTGCTCTTTCCCATGCATAATCTTATAAACCTCGATCATGTCACCCCTCAGTCGTCTTTTCTCCAAGCTAAAGAGCCCTAAGCGCTTTAACCTTTCCTCATAGGGAAAGTGTTCCAACCCTTTTATCATTCGAGTTGCCCTTTTCTGCACTTTTTCCAAAGCTATAATATCCTTTTTAAGGTGTGGTGACCAGAACTGCACACAGTATTCCAAATGAGGTCTCACCATTGATTTATATAGGGGCATTATTATATTGGCTGATCTGTTTTCAATACCCTTCCTAATAATCCCCAGCATAGCATTGGCCTTCTTTATTGCAGTCACACACTGTCTCGACATTTTCAGTGAGTTATCCACTACAACTCCAAGATCTCTCTCTTGCTCAGTCTCTGCCAGTTCAGACCCCATCAATGTGTATTTATATTTAGGATTTTTGGCTCCAATGTGCATCACCTTGCACTTGGCCACATTGAACCCCATTTGCCATGTTGACGCCCACTCGCCCATCCTTGACAGATCCCCTTGGAGTGCCTCACAATCCTCACTGGTTTTCACCACCCTGAACAACTTTGTATCATCCGCAAATTTAGCCACTTCACTGCTTACTCCCATCTCCAAATCATTAATGAACAAGTTAAAAAGCAGTGGACCAAGTACTGATCCCTGCGGTACCCCACTGCTTACCACCCTCCACTGAGAAAATTGCCCACCTACACTCACTCTCTGTTTTCTATGAACTAGCCAGTTTTTGATCCATAAAAGGACTTGTCCTTCTATCCCATGATTTTTGAGCTTACTTAGGAGCCTTTGATGAGGAACTTTATCAAAAGCTTTCTGGAAGTCAAGGTAAATAATATCTATTGGATCCCCCTTGTCCACATGTTTGTTCACCCCCTCAAAGAACACTAACAGGTTAGTGAGACAAGATCTTCCCTTACAGAAACCGTGCTGAGTCTGCCTCAATAGGTTTTGTTCATCTATGTGCCTACTAATTCTTTCCTTAATAATGGTTTCCACCAATTTACCCGGTATCGACGTCAGACTGACTGGCCTGTAATTTCCCGGATCTCCTCTGGAACCCTTTTTAAAGATGGGAGTGACATTAGCTACCTTCCAATCCTCAGGAATGGAGGCAGATTTTAAGGAAAGATTACATATCTTTGTCAGGAGATCTACAAGTTCACATTTGAGTTCTTTCAGAACTCTCGGATGTATGCCATCTGGGCCTGGTGATTTTTCAGTTTTTAAGTTGTCTATCAGTTTTAGGACCTCCTCTCTCATCACCTCAATCTGACTCAGGTCTTCCAACACCCCTCCTGAAATCAGTGGTTCTGGAGTGGGCAAGCACTTCTCATCTTCCACAGTGAAGACGGAGGCAAAAAATGCATTTAGCTTCTCAGCCATTTCCCTATCATCCTTCAATACTCCTTTTACCCCTTGGTCGTCCAAGGGCCCCACTGCCTCCCTGGCTGGTTTCCTGTTTCTAATGTATTTGAAGAAAGTTTTATTGTTGGTTTTTACGTTTTTTGCTATATGCTCCTCATATTCCCTTTTTGCCTGCCTGACCTCAGACTTGCATTTTATTTGCCATAGCCTGTGTTCCGTTTTATCAGCCTCACTGTGACTAGCTTTCCACTGCTTAAAGGAATTCTTTTTACTTTTTACAGCCTCCATTACTCTGTTTGTTAACCATGCAGGCTTTTTCCTATACCTGTTTGTGCCTTTCCTAACCTGCGGAATATATATTTTTTGAGCTTCTAGGATCGTAGTTTTAAATAGATCCCAAGCTTCCCCAATTGTTTTGACCCTTTCTACTTTTCCTTTCAGTTTCCTCCCCACGTGTCCCCTCATATCAGAGAAATTACCCCTTTTAAAGTTAAAAATGGTTGTGTGAGTCTTTTTGGCCAATTCTCTATTTGTACAAATGATGAACTCAACAACATTATGATCACTGTTTCCAAGCGGTGCAATCACTTTTACATCTCTCACCAGGTCTTGAGTGTTACTTAGGACCAAATCAAGGATCGCCTCTCCCCTGGTAGGTTCCGTGACCATCTGCTCCATAGCACAGTCATTTAGAGTGTCTAGAAACTCAATCTCTTTTTCCCGACTAGAACACATATTGACCCAATCAATGTGTGGGTAGTTAAAATCACCTATTATTACACAGTGTTTTTGTCTAGTTGCTATCTTTAAGGCATTCATCATTTTATAATCCTCCTCTATCTTTTGATCTGGTGGGCGATAACAAACTCCCAGTGTTAAGTTTCCTTTTGGCCCCCCTATTTCAACCCATAGAACTTCCAGAAGCGAATCCAATTCACTTAGCCTCTCAATCTTTCTAGACTTTATACCCTCTCTGACATACAGAGCTACCCCACCTCCAACCCTTCCCCCCCTATCCTTCCGATATAATATATAACCGGGAATCACTGTGTCCCACTGATTTTCCTCATCCCACCAAGTTTCAGAAATACCCACAATGTCTATTTTTCCCTCCGACACCAAGCACTCCAACTCCCCGATTTTACCTCGGACACTTCTAGCATTTGTATAGAAACAGCTGTAATTTCCCTTACAAGTTAAGCCTGCATCCTTCCTCTTGCTATCTCGAGTCGTTGTCCGGCAGTCCATGTCACCAGCCATGGCCTCTGTGGACAATTTCAATCCACCTCCCTGTAGAAAAGCAACCGGTACCCCCTCACCTCTCTCAGATGAGCCAACCCGAACCAGAGACTTTTCATCTCCTGTCGGCTTTCCCCCAATATTCAGTTTAAAAGCTGCTCTGCCACCTTTTTGATTTTAAGTGCCAGCAGCCTGGTTCCTTCTCGGGACAAGTGGAGACCGTCTCGCCTGTACAGCTCCCTCTTGTTCCAAAAAGTATCCCAGTGCCTAACAAACCTGAACCCTTCCCCCCTACACCATCGTCTCATCCACGCATTGAGACTCCTGATCTCTGCCTGTCTCTCCGGCCCTGCGCGTGGAACAGGTAACACTTCTGAGAAGGCTACCTTGGAGGTCCTGGACCTAAGTTTCCTGCCCAGCAGCCTAAATTTCTCCTCCAGGACCTCACGACTGCATTTCCCCACATCGTTGGTGCCGACATGCACCACGACCACTGGCTCCTCCCCAGCACTATCTACCAGCCTATCTAAAACACGCGTAATGTCCGCTACCTTCGCACCAGGCAGGCAAGTCACCATACGGTCAGTACGCGGGTTCGCCACCCAGCTGTCTACCTGCCTAAGGATCGAATCACCCACTACCAAGAGCCCCCCTCCCACCCTGCTCAGGGATGGTTCCTTGGTGCAAAAGGAGAGCCGCTCACCAGCTGGGGAAGAGGTCCCTTCTGAGGGCACATTCCCCTTATCCTCAGCACGGTGCCCTGTTTCCCCTAGACCTTTGCTCCCCTTTGGATGATAATGAAGCTCTGAGGATGCAGGCAGAAGACCTTCTCTGCAGTGGACAAAGAGGAAAGCATGTGGAAAGAAGTCAAGAGTCTGTAAGGTTGTTGGAGATGCTGAAGATGTGATTAGCTGTGGCAAAAGAACTGAGGGCCTCAATATCACTGCTTCGATACTGAGCATCTTGTTCTTACCAGAGGCAGAGCACACAAATCATGTATCCAAGATATTCTTCCTAGCCTCCGTATCTTCCTGTATTGCCCTTAAGAACATAAGAGAGGCCATGTTGGATCAGGCCAACAGCCTGACTCAACACTCTGTGCCATATAGTGGCCAAAAATACCAGGTGCCATCAGGAAGTCAACCAGTGGGGCCAGAACTCCAGAAGACCTCCCACTAATGCCACCCAAGCACCAAGAATACAGAGCATCACTGCCCCAGACGCAGTGTTCCATCTGTACCTTGTGGCTAATAGCCACTGATGATCTTCTGCTAATATGTTTATCCAATACCCTCTTGAAGCTGTCTGTGCTTGTAGATACCACCACTTCTTGCAGCAGTGAATTCCACATGTTAATTTCTCTTTGGGTGAAGACATACTTTCTTTTATGGGTTCTAATCCTACTGCTTGTCAATTTCATTGAGTGCCCACCAGTTCTTATATTGTGAGAAAGGGAGAAAAGTACTTCTTTCTCTACCTTCACTATCCCATGCATAATTTTGTAAACCTCTATCATGTCACCCCTCAATCATAATTTCTCCACGCTAAAGAGCCCTAACCTCTTTAACCTTTCTTCATAGGGAAGGTGTTCCATATGCTTAATAATTTTAGTTGCACTTTTCTGCACCTTTTCCAATGCTATAATATCTTTTTTTGAGGTGTGGTAAATAGAACTGTATGCAGTATTCCAAATTAGACCACACCATAGATTTATACAGGGGCATTATGATACCGGCTGATTTGTTTTCAATTCCTTTCCTAATGATCCCCGGCATAGCATTTGCTTTGTTTACTGCAGTCACCCAATGAGTCAACATCTTCAGTGAGTTATCTACCAGGATTCCAAGATCTCTCTCCTGGTCAGTTACTACCAGTTCAGACCCCATCAACGTATATTTATAGTTAGGATTTTTTGCTCCAATTCGCATTACTTTACACTTGCCCACATTGAACCTAATTTGTCATGTTAACGCCCACTCAACCAGCTTCAACAGATCCCTTTGGAGCACCTCACAGTCCTCCCTGGTTTTTACTGCCCTGAACTGCTTAGACATTTCACTGCTTACTCTCAACTCCAAAACATTAGTGAACATGTTAAGAAGTGCCGGACCTAGTACCGAGCCTTGCAGTACCCCACTACTTACCATCTTCCACTGTGAAAACTGCCCATCTATACTCACTCTCTGTTTCCTGTTAATTTACCTGTTTTAATCCACAAGAAGACTTGTCCTCTTATCCCGTTACTGCTGAGTTTATTTAGGAACCTTTGATGAGGAACTTAATCAAAAGCTTTCTGGAAATTTAGGTAAACAACATCTACTGGGTCACCCTTGTCCACATGCTTGTTTACCTCCTCAAAGATCTCTAATAGGTTAGTGAGACAAGATCTTCCCTTACAGAATCCATGCTGATTCTTCCTCAATAACCTTTGTTCATCAATGTGCCTACTAATTCTATCTTTAATAACAGATTCCACCAACTTATCCAGTACCAATGTTAGACTGACCTTCCCGTTGCAAAGAATAAGGCATTCTACAACATAGCTAGAACTGGAATTGACATATTTATTCTGTTCCAAAAGCTGATGATAGATTGTTTTATCATCTGAAACTTCCTCAAACTGGATTGGGTTATTGACGCAGAAAGAAGACAGGTTTCCTTTGTTCTTGGATCTGGCTTTGTGTCTTCCTAGTTCCTGTTGCTGATGGGAAGCATCACTGTTTATTTGTTATTTTGACAGGTTTATCAGTAAAGATGTTTTCAGAGCTTTTCTGTATTGAAATTAGAAGTCTTGGGTGAATCTTGAGCAAATAAGCTTGTACCTTGAGGAGGGGAGAGGAGGCATAAACAATCTGTTCCTTGATGGTGATCCTGGTTGCCCAGCAACTCCGGGCAAGTTTTCAATGCCAAACAACTGAGGGAATTCCAGGCAAGGCCATTGTGACAATGGGTTCACCATACTGCTTAAAGATCATGGTGAATGTTCAGTAATCTACAAGAATGCTGTCAGTAGTTTCCAACTGAGAGAATCCAAGGCCAGCCAAAAACAGGCCTTGCTCCTTCCTTGCTCATCACCACTTCTGAAGGAATCTGGTCCCTAGAAAGGTGTGGAATATAATTCTCACCCAGTGGGTTTGGTAAATACATTCTCCAAGGAACACTATACCCTAATGAATGTATTCCTAAACTCACATCATTACCAAATGAATGCCAACTCCTTGCACTCCACTTAGCTATATCAAATGTACTCACTGCTGAATATCTCCTGAGGAAAGAGCACTGGCCAGCCATTTTAAATCCAAGGGTTTGAAAGGGACAAGCACCAGATGGACTCCAGGATGAAGGTTGACAGCACTCTCTGGATACATGAAATGGTGTGTGGTTTTTGCACCAACATCTTCCTCAAAGCCTGCAGTGGGTGCTTTGTTCATCCTGAGGAGATACAACAAAGGCTAGCAGACATATCTATTCAAGACAACCAAGCCAGATGTGTAGAGACAGCTGAAGGCAAGATCAGGATTGCTACCCATATTTAAATAGGGATGTCATTTTCCAGGGCTATGGAATGCGTTTGGGGATGGATCACAAAGTTCAGTTTTAAAAAATAAATGACATCAAGAGTTTTCACACTTGTGCAAATATGAACTCAGAATTTATAAACATGGTTGAGATCATCATTCCCAATAGCTGTTCTCACCCATTATAGTTCACAAAACATAAGTATGCATAAGTACGTTTCATCATATTAATCTTTTCTTTATTCTGATATCTTATTTCCCTTCTCTCACTTTGCCATCTCTCTCATGAGTATAACTTCCAGGTTGTTATATTCAGCTGCCAGTGGAAATATTTTGAACAAACTCTTGCACTGTGAAGAGTCTCTGCTTCACGTATACACTTTTCAGCCACAACGACACTCTGCTATAACATACAAAGCTGCCCAAAGGAGCATGCACTCTTCTCCACTTACCTCAGCACAAAATTGTGAGAGTCAATCTTTTCACCATATTTGGAGCCCCTCAGATTCCCCGAATTTCCTACCACAGAACATGTTCCACAGTGGGCAATATCCTGAACTTTAGCAGAGGGAGATGAAAGGGTGTCAAACAGATTCTTTATTATCTCTCGGAGTTGGCTCCCATTCTGTGATCCTTGTAGTTTCTAAGGGAACAAAAACAGAGAGACCAGTCAGGCAGTTCAGACACAAGCTCAAACTAGCAGCATATTGGGGGCTGGGAAGTGGCTTCTCTAAGGAAGTACTAAGACACTTCTAACAACCAAGTTGCAGTGCTTTTCTAACGTATAGCACGATTCTGATCCAAGGGGTAGTTGCTCTTTCCTCCAATTTTGAACAAAACTGTTATGCCACTTCTGTGTGAAGCTTTAAAATTTTCTGTAATCTCTATGATAAAGACCATACAGACTAAGGTAAGTTCTGAGAGTGCCACTGTGGAGAACATTTTTTTCTCCAGCTCATCAATTTCTTGAGGATGGGAGCCTGGGGGCAGGGAGCGGGAATTCCTGATGGGTCCAGACAAATGGGAACCACATGATGCCTTCAGCCCTTCCCACTGAGACCTGACACATCCGCACCCTAAGATCCTTTGGCCATCTAAGCAGGATGACTGAATTAAGATGAGCGGATGCTTTGCCTGTACCTGCTCACATTAGCCAGAGGGTTAGCCACTGTAGCCTCACCTGGTGCACAGCATTCTTCTCTTTCCCATGACCATGTTTGGGCTTCCACCTACTTTGGCTACACTTGCTTCACCCACTGAAAATTTAAAGTAACCAATAGGGAACCAGATCTTCCCCCTTTGAGCCAATGCCATCTTGGTTCCTAGTGTGGCACCAAATTTGGCCAATAGCCGGGAGCCCCAGTAAATCTAGATGCATAAAAGGGACACTTCAATCCCATCATTTTTATAGCTGGTTTACCCATAAAATGTCTTTCATTGCTGACATCATCAGACTCTGCAACACAACTGGACCCCTCACCTTTGTGAAAGGCAGAGTTTTTCTTTCATCCAACTGCACCAGACAAGCAAGAATCTTAGGAAGCACTGAGGAGGACTGTTGAGCAAACCCTTTTGGACCTGGCTACCAAACTTCACCATGACAAGTGGTCAACGGTTTGTGCAGAAGCAGCTCACATGCTTGTGTATTGAAGGGAAAAACATGAGTCAGGTGTAGTTAGAGCTCATGCTTCCAGCACAATAATGAGAGAACCTGCTTCTTTTTGGCTTCTCTTTGTTACGCTTCTATAAAATCACAAGAGTCTACATTGTGTGAAGTAATTGTTAATCATGTTTCTGTTAACTTCTCATGACTTATCTCCTCTACTCAGATGGTACCACAGCACAAATATGTGGTTTAAAACATTGTTTAAAACATTTCTATGTTGCATTCCCACCCAAGGAAGCTAACATTAAAACTTTTCCAACTTTAAAATGTGTATGTGTACGTGTGTTCTGTCAGACCTTCCCCTTTCCCTCCTCTTTTCCTACCACATGTATTCTTTGTACCCTGCCCTTCCTCCAAGGAGTTCACATACCATACATGGTTCTTCCCTGTATTTTACCTTCACAAAAACACTGTAGGGTAAATTATGCTGAAAGAGATTCTCTGGCTGTCAAATATTCTCTCTCATTCCTTTTCTATTCCTGTAGTGGAACTTGTCAGTAATGTGATTAAATACTCACCAGCCACCACTGCTGTACTCCTGAGGGGACCATTGGGTTTTTAGGATTCAGCAGGCAGTTTACTGAGGCATTGTAGTGTTCACAGAACCAGTCCGGGTTGCTTAAATTAAAGCATCTGTTATAGCTGCAAGGCTTTCCCTCCAAAAAGGATTCTACTGTTGACCATTCTCCAATGCCGTTTGAGGAAGATGAAGGTCCCAGGTACACAGACTTGTAAATCTTCCAAACAGAAACCACAAGGCACAGAACCACAATGCCCCGCTGCTTTTTCCTACACAGCATCCTTCACTCTGACTTGTTCAGACAGTATCTTGTGGTTTAGTACTTCGTTCTCATATATGATGACTGGATTACTCGTTGATTTGTTGATTAGAGGATGCTCCAGAAAGATGGAAATTTTGGAGCTCACTGACAAAGCAAGAAATGGTAGATTCCATTCACTCTCCATAAAGTCAACTGGGGCAACTACTGCCAACTGGGGGGGGGAAATCGCGTGAGAGAATTAGAGAGCAAGAAGAGCATGGAGTGCACAGGTTAAGAAATAATTTCTTGAGGGACAAGTTAAAAATAAGAAAATGGTAAAACAAAAAGTGAGATAGGGGAACTGGTTCTGACGTACCTTGAGAATTCCACCATGCAGCCTCAGCAAACTGAAATGTTCTCCTCTGAAGAATTCTCTTGCAAATTTAGATTGCTCAACATTGCAGGAAGTTTAGAGAGATCCGTTTGTTTAAAATGCTGCAAAGCTTATCAGCATTTGCAAGGAGGAAGGCATAGAAAACCGGGGCATACCAAAGCAGAAAAATACTGATATTGCTGGCAAAGCCAGAAATGTCATTTCCTCTTTGCCCTCCTTTGCTAATCCAACAAAAGTGTAATATAGCCAACATAAAAATTATGTCATGTGCCACAGGAGATGAGTTCATTGTTCTTCAAAGGCTCTTCATGGACCTTAAGGTATTAAATCATGATGGACTTGTGTGCAAAATTGAAAAGGCTTCCAAAACCTAAGGCAAGATAGCAGTAAAGCTGATTTAATTGGTTCCTGGTATGTGACATCAAGTCAGAGACATGTATTTGCCACAATGTATTTGAAACAATAACAACCACACAGGATACTTGGTGTTCTACATCAGTGTAAGATAGACCTGTGCAAAAGAGCCAAGTCCTAACATTATAGCACAATGCCAATGGAAGGAGTAATATGGGAGACTGGGGAATCTGACTGTTCTAGCCAGCAATCATACTCACATTTGAGTAGGTGATTCAGAGGGACCAGAAGGATGAGTTCTCACATGAAGCATACATTAATCTTGCCAACTGTGACTGAATGTCTACCTTACACACAATCATATACCTAAGTACCTTGGCATTACCCTGGACAGGACCTTGAGCTGTAAATACCACCTTACCTATGTAGCAACAAAAATACACATGTGAAACAACTTTCTCCAAGAATAACATGGTACAACTTGGGGTACAACATTTAGAGGATCAGCTTTGGAGTTGGTGTATAGTACTGTGGAATATGATTCTTCAGTGTGGCTCAACAACCCCCCTATGTCTACAAACCTGACATCCAATTCAATACAACAATGAGAACCATCAGCAGATGTATTAAATCCACTCTGACCTATTGGCTACCCACATTGTGCCCAGGTTTGCCAGCTCTGGGTTGAAAAATGCCAAGCGACTTTGGGGGTGGATCTGGGAGATGGCGGGGTTTGTGGAGGGGAGGGGCCTCAGCATGGTGCAATGCCATAGAGTCCACCCTTCAAAGCAGCTATTTTCTCCAGGGGAGCTGATCTCTGTCAGCTGGAGATCAGTTGTAAAAGCAGGCGATCTCCAGGCCCCACCTGGAGGCTGGCAACCCTAATTGTACCACATCACTTCCCCACATCTCCAAAGACAAGATGCTCTTCTATGTGAACATAGAAAGATCACTGAGTTGCCCATCCTCAAAGACATGGCTGACACGGGCCTATCCAGACTAAGATATTCTCCCAGGGAGCTGAATCTCTGTCAGCTGGAGATCAGTTGTAAAAGCAGGCGATCTCCAGGCCCCACCTGGAGGCTGGCAACCCTAATTGTACCACATCACTTCCCCACATCTCCAAAGACAAGATGCTCTTCTATGTGAACATAGAAAGATCACTGAGTTGCCCATCCTCAAAGACATGGCTGACACGGGCCTATCCAGACTAAGATCCCAACACCCAGCAATAAGAACTGCACAAATCCTGCAATCACAAAATTTCGATCTAGGGAATGAATGGTTGTGAATGTGAATGCAATCAGTTCCACCTGATATCCATAACCTAATAGACACCAATGAGAGGACCACAGGATTTGACTTGCCACATTACATATGAAAGATGGCTAATAGAATACAAAAAGGCTTTGGCAGTTGTGCAGACTTGTTGTTTAAATGGGGCAAAACACCAGGACCAGAATACGATTGCGGTGCAGCCTGCCAGACTATTTTCCATCTGTCACAGGAATGTGAGCATCGTGCTTTCCAGGGAGATATGACAGAGTTCTTTGAACTCTCCCCAGCTGCAATTTAGTGGATTGAAAAGTTAGATATTAGTATTTAGGGGGATTGCCCAATCAGTCTGCATACCCATTGTATCAACTTGGTTACGTATTTTATATTATTATATGCTTCCTGTGCGTAACTCTGCCATACAATAAATAAATAAATAAAAATGAAGTATACATAGATTTTTTTCCTAAATTGATTTGCAAGTCAGTTGTAAAACCTGTATTCACTAGGGTTGCCCAGCTCCTGTTGCACTTGGAGTGGTGGTGGCAGCAAAGTACCAAAAAGTTATGTCTCCTCCAGGGGAAACCCAGAGGGGACATCATTCCAGGAATCTTAGAGTTTCTGGTGATTCCTAGAGAGGTGTGGCATCATGCCATTGCTGACCGTGGCCCCCCCCCCACACATGTCCATCTCCCCCTGGTCTCCTGCTAGTTGCCAAGCCATACCTGGCAACCCTAGTACTGGCCCAGTGTGCATGGTTCCATTCTTACTTTTTCAGTGTTCACTCCCTCCTTAGGGCATCTGGTCCCCTGAGGAAGTGAGGGGAATCATGTCTCTGGAATATTTTAGAAGATCCTGCTTGCTTGGGCTTTTAATGGAGGAGAAGCTGCCAGCATGGGGGGGGGGGGTTTACTGGAGGGAGGTCTTATTGTACCTTATGTGGTAAGGGGAGAATAAAGGATTTGTTCAGCTGGCCCAGGTCTCAAGATGCTAGACCAAAATGAGGCGTTTGCCTCTCCTGCTTCATCCCTTTCACAAATAGGATTTACTCTCAGCTGCCATCAGCAGGCCATTAAAAAATTGCAGTCTGACATCCTACAGTCAGACTTGTTATTCAGATTGATTCAGAATCTCTTCCTTGGATTCAGCCCTGGGCAGATATAGGGGAAATTCTTTAAATTTCACTTATCAGTTTTTACCTTCTTCCTCCATCTGGCTGGTCTCCTTTCCTTCGACCCTGGGCCCATGTGTGTCACCTTCAGAGCCCCCATGAAGTCTCATGCTAGTGTCTGTGTATGTCAAGCATGACTGTTCTCTAAAGGATGACTGCCCATTCTCCCATATTGGCTTCCTCTTCCGCAACCAGCACTCCACCCCAATACCACTCCCACAGGGAGTTCCCACGGGAGGGAAATAGAGAAACTAGAGCCATGAGGTCACTTTGAGGCTCAAAGATCTCCATGTGTACATGCACAAAACCCACCAGTCTTGTCTCTTGGGCCCTTCTCTGGCATACTAATTATTTTACAGCAACCAAACTCTGCAGCTTGGAATTCAGACAGAATTAACAGCATTGTTAATCTCCAGGTGGCACCTGGAGATCTTCCCCTGGAGAAAATGGCTGCTTTGGAGGGTGGACTCTGTGACATTTATTTAAATAAATAAAACAGGTATTAACACCCCCCCCTCCATACGCCCCGCAAATGAATCAAGGCCATGAATGACTGAAACTTACTTTTTTAATATAAATTCAGGAAATATCTGATCATGGATCTCTGAGCACAATTTGCTGTATCTGATGAAGTTCATTACCCTACAGAGATTTTATATGACGAGCAAGCTGAAGGATGGATTGCTGCTGCTGACAGTTGTTGTGCAGTATAGGTTGGGAAGCCACAGACAAACTGACTTTGCCATCAACTTGGGCCTTCTTCTTTTTTTTCTGCCACTGTCATAAGGACTAATTTTCCAGGGCTATTTGCTACAAGTGGCTGGAGCTCACTAGATTCTCATTTTGAACAGGAAATATACAAAACTTAAAGGGAAGTCCGTTACCCCATACCAACCACACCAGATTTGGGAAGTGTATAAATGCAAATTATTTTGTGTGAGCAGTAGGAGGGGAAGTGCCTTCTGCCGCAGTGGCTTCCTGCATCCAACTGCAGATGTGACATTACATGGTTTCGAGCTTGATCTCTTTGTGGGACTCGAGCTTTATGGCTGAGCCCAACATTGTTCCAGTGATCAGCATTATCAGTCTATTTAATAAAAAGAAAGGAAGGTATTTACAGCTTTTAGCATTAACGAAGATTGATCGTAATTAAATTGTCTACAAACCTGTATGGGATGGACTCTTTAAAACACTACAAGTGAAGAATCACATAATATATTTTGATATTTTTATGATTCTGGGAAAGCATGCAGGATTCATAATAGGAAACTGTAAAAATGTATTTAATTGTCCACTGTAAAAATGTGGACAAGGGGGATCCAATAGATATTGTTTACCTTGACTTCCAGAAAGCTTTTGATAAAGTTCCTCATCAAAGGCTCCTAAGTAAGCTCAAAAATCATGGAATAGAAGGACAAGTCCTTTTATGGATCAAAAACTGGCTAATTCATAGAAAACAGAGAGTGAGTATAAATGGGCAATTTTCTCAGTGGAGGGTGGTAAGCAGTGGGGTACCGCAGGGATCAGTATTGGTCCACTGCTTTTTAACTTGTTCATTAATGATTTGGAGATGGGAGTAAGCAGTGAAGTGGCTAAATTTGCGGATGATACAAAGTTGTTCAGGGTGGTGAAAACCAGTGAGGATTGTGAGGCACTCCAAAGGGATCTGTCAAGGATGGGCGAGTGGGCGTCAACATGGCAAATGGTGTTCAATGTGGCCAAGTGCAAGGTGATGCACATTGGAGCCAAAAATCCCAAATATAAATACACATTGATGGGGTCTGAACTGGCAGAGAGAAATCTTGGAGTTGTAGTAGATAACTCACTGAAAATGTCGAGACAGTG